TAACTTTTACAAAATATTTTCATAGATGCTAGCGGCTTTCCATAATTTTAAGTCCAACTTAGAGATAAGTTCAACTTAGGATCTTTGTTTAAAATGGAATCACAACGAATTGCATAGGCAATTTTGGTCAAGATTGGTCAGAGGTTACATAACTAGGTCACCAGGACAGAGGCAGCATGTACAGGTAGATTGTCCTTTGGGATCTATACCTTTGATCAACTTTAAAACACACATCCATTGACGCAAGTAATCGTAAAACTTTACCGTGTTCATGAACAGAATATATGGGAATATTCACTGTTTAAATAATTTTTCATACCTCAATTCATGAAGTGCTTATGAGAATATGATTTATTCTTCATAGAGTTAGTTTGCATCTACTCGGAACTTAATTGATCATTGATCTCTAGGACTCTTTAGATTCATCAGTAAACTTCTAAGAAGATATAATTTTTATCTATTAAAAATAAATCATATTCTCAAAATCACTTCATGAATAGGGGTAAGAAACAAAAATCATACTTTATGTGCAGCGTGAAAGATTTTCATTGTCATTATTTGATATTCCACATATTGCTTATAATTTTTGTAGTGGTTTAAAATACATAACATAAAATATGGTATGTCATATACTTAAAAATATATATATATATATATTATGTCTCTACAATGTACATGTATTACATTCACTCATAATGTGATTCATTAACATGATTATTAACATAATGTGATTCATTAATGATGACATGTATAACATTAATTTTATCCTCATCTCAAAAACAATTTAAATTACACCTTAAAGAAACATTACATACTCTACATGTAATCAAAAATGAATTTGTGCCACAACAAAGAAAGTTATCCTTGCTTCTACTACTATACATTAAATGGGGGGGGGGGGGGGGGGGGGGTACCAGAGTATTTGACAAATTAAAGTGAAAATTACAAACTGGTAAAAAACAATTCATTAAATTTGTTCACTTTCTTGTCAGTGGATGGGTTCTGCATTTTTTAAAACATAGTTTGCATAAACATAGGTTTAAATAATTCTAACATGCATTGCAAGATTTCTCACAGTTCAATTTGCCAACAATTAGGATGAAAATAGGGAGACGCCACATGCCCCCCTTATGTTACCCATTCCTCGATTTAAAAAAACGTGTTCCAACAACTGCTAAATAAGAATTTTGCGACATGACATTTTTTAAAATTGTTGATGAAGGGAAATTTTCTCTGTAGAAACGTATAATAATAATAATATGTCCATTTATTACTGCAGCTACTATATGTATATAGTACTCTACTGCGCTTCATGCAAAATATCACGTTATTACCCCGGCTATAGCTGACCTCACGTCACCAAGGGTACCATAGTTTAACCAGAGAGTTAAATATAGATGGTATATATTCAATTTACATCCATCATCTTTATTTCAAGACTAGATATATACCGATCATCATCTGTACTGTACTGATCACACACTCACAAACCATTTTGAAGAAATTATTAACTTGTGCGAAAAACAAATGAATATAACAATGACATCATCACACGCCGATGCCTAAAACACTGTGTACAGTATCTGCCTACCATGAATGGTACTTCTGTACATAGATCATGACAACATATTTAATTACCCCTGATGGTAATTTGCTCATTTTGATAAGGCTCATGTGACATGTTTTTAATGAAAAAAAATCGATTGCGTAGATACTTTTCATGATTGGTATAATATGCTCTATGGACAATTTGCCCCCCTCACCCCCTACAAATAACCCTGAACGAATCTTCAAATTATCCACAGATATTTACCTACCGATCGAGGTAAAGTAAAATGTGGGTAGAGGCCCGGCCGGCCTGGAGAAGTGGAAATCCAGAGGTAATTGAAATGGGAGGGGGAGGGGAGGAGGAGGAGGGAGGGGGTGGGAGGAGGTCAGGAGGGGGGAGGGGACTGGGAGTAGTTATCAAGGGATGTTATAGTTCCAAGGAGTACTTGATCTTAAATTTGTATTTCTATACAGTATTGTATTACAGATGAATAGTAAAGTTACTTGCTTTTGTAGAGTCCCTTGAATTCATTTGTAGACTACTATAGTGGGCCTCTTAATTTTTGGAATGGGCACCTCTGCGCTTTTACTCATACAGATACTGAGACCCGTTCCCCACTCAGCTTTGTGTTGCTTACCTCTACCTTTTTCTCTCTTTCTCTTTGAGATCCCATGATTTAAAGTTCCTATTTTCTATTACACAGTAATTCACAGCAGCAGACAGAAGGATTAAGTAATCCAGAATTAGTTCAGACTCCAGGAAAGGAAGTTATAATTGAGAAACAAGGAAGCAGTGGAATAAGTAATCCACAACAGCAGATAGAAGGATCAAGTAATCCAGATTTAGCTCAGACTCCAGGAAAGGAAGTTATATTTGGGAAACAGAGAAGCAGTGGAACAAGTAATCCACAGAAGCAGATAGAAGGATCAAGTAATCCACAGAAGCAGATAGAAGGATCAAGTAATCCAGATTTAGCTCAGACTCCAGGAATGGAAGCTATATTTGAGAAACAGAGAAGCAGTGGAACAGGTAGTCCACAACAACAGCACTATTCAGATGAATTAAATCATCCAGCCAGGAGATGCTTAAGATTGAGGAATTAATTTACAGAGCAAGAACGGATCAAGTAATCCAGCCTTGAAAGATGAGTATCCAGATTTAGTTCAGACTCAAGGAAAGGAAGCTATATTTGAGAAGCAAATTAGCAGTGGAACAAGTAATTCACAGCAGCAGATAGAAGGATTAAGTAATCCAGATTTAGTTCAGACTCCAGGAATGGAAGCTATATTTGGGAAACAGAGAAGCAGTGGAACAAGTAATCCACAACAGCAGATAGAAGGATTAAGTAATCCAGATTTAGCTCAGACTCCAGGAAAGGAAGTTATATTTGGGAAACAGAGAAGCAGTGGAACAAGTAATCCACAGAAGCAGATAGAAGGATCAAGTAATCCACAGAAGCAGATAGAAGGATCAAGTAATCCAGATTTAGCTCAGACTCCAGGAATGGAAGCTATATTTGAGAAACAGAGAAGCAGTGGAACAGGTAGTCCACAACAACAGCACTATTCAGATGAATTAAATCATCCAGCCAGGAGATGCTTAAGATTGAGGAATTAATTTACAGAGCAAGAACGGATCAAGTAATCCAGCCTTGAAAGATGAGTTTCCAGGAAAGCAAGCTGCCCCTGAGAGGAAAGTTATTTCTAAGATAGATAATAAAGAAACTCACTGTCAACAGAAACGTGGAGCAAGCAATCCACACCAGTCTTACAAGAAAAGTACAGAGACGAATAAAGGGGAAAAGATTGATGTTCCTAAAAGTCAGAGAAGTGGAAGGGTATCGTCTAGTCAACAGAGTGAAGGATTCAATTGTCCAAGACCAACAAGTGATGTTAGGGATACCAGAGAAATGATGCAAAGAATAAGTCTGATCATAAGTTGCACTGTCTGTATACAAATGCAGACTCCCTTATGAATAAAAGAAGCGAGCTTCTAATCAGCATTGAAGAGAGCGAACCTGACATCATTGCCATCACAGAGGTGTTACCGAAATTTGGAGGAGATAAAGTCCAAGCAGCTGAACTTGAAATAGATGGCTATGTCTGCCTCACCAATGGAAATGATGGGAGAGGTGTATGTGTTTACACAAAAAAAGAGCTTAAAGCTACCAAAAATAATGACCTATCAGATATGGTTTTCAGAGAAAGTGTGTGGTGTGAGATCAGTCTTCAAGACACAGATAGTCTTTTTGTTGGATGTGTATGCTGTAGTCCAATTGGCACAAGTGAGAATAATGAACAGCTGCTAAACCTCGTCAACAAAGCTTGGGAAAGAGAAGATTCACACCTCTTGATAGTGGGTGATTTCAACTATTCTGAAGTTGACTGGGAGACATGGGCATCATCAGCAAGTGAGGCACATGGTAGCAGCAAGCTGGTGAACTGTCTTCAAGATAACTACCTTTACCAAGAAATGAACTCCAATACAATTTAGATTTAGATGAATTAGATGTTACTTCTGCATGTTTTCTTTCTTTCTGATATACTCCATGCTCGTATGATGAAACACATTCCAAAATCCAAGCCAAGTAAGAAATCAGAGAAACAAAGACAGAAGCCTCTGTGGATGAGTGGTAACGTGTTGAGAAAAGTGAAAAAGAAATATCATACCTGGAAACGCTACACGACTACCAAACAGTATGGTGACTACCAGGTGTATGTCAAACTGCGCAATGCTGCTACACACGAGGTAAGGAGTGCAAAGATAGAGAAACTGGCAGATGAAATAAAGGAGAACCAAAAGAGTTTCTGGAGTTGCGTAAGATCGAAAACCAAAGTAAAAAAAGGTATAAGTTACCTAGATAAAGATGATGGCACACAGACCAAGAATGATGTGGAGAAAGCAAACTTCTTCGCTAGTGTCTTCACAAGAGAAGATTTGGAAAGTATCCCTGATCCAGATACAAAGTTTGATGGTGCACCCCTCGAAGGATATGAAATGAGTTGTAATGAAGTGGAGAAGAAATTTAAAAAGTTAAACCCATCAGAATCTCCTGGACCAGACGGCATAAACCCCTGAGTATTGAAGGAGACTGCAGATTAGGAGGCCCTCTATAGTATTCTACGGATGAATTCAAGGGACTCTACACTATTAACAGCTGGATTGCCTTTTTGAAGAGCGTCCTGAGCGATCATATTTTGAGAACCATTATCACGAATGAGTTAAAGCTATCACACACTCTCCAAAAAATCATGAAATATGTTTTCTCAAATTTTACAACAAACCAAAAATATTTTAAATCTATTTTCTTAGTTTCCCATCATTCAGAGATGCAGTTTAAAAGCTCTTTTTCTAGAAACTTCTTGCCCCGTTTACACAGGGCAACTCTGATAGAATGCGTTTAATTCATTTACAAACCATTAATTCCATAGGCTATTGAGCTGAGCCACTGTTTATTACCACACGTTGCTTTGTTAACCCATTGTCTTATGGAACTGTGTGGCCCCTGTATTAAGCCTATGGCAATGCGAGAATTCAGTAGTCAACAGGTACACGCAACCAGTACTGGTATGTAACTGTGTCATATCACACAAACTGCCAAAATGGTTATATCACTGATATAACACCAAAGACTATGGCACTTGTTTCGAGGTTATTACACTGTGCAGAATTCAAAGTCAGATTGAAAATGGAATGATACAAAACTGGATTGGAATGAGTTGCTTCTTTATGTTTTTGTTAATGTCCAATTGGCAAACAAATACTTTCCTTGGTAATTGCTTCTCTTGATCATCTTACTGATATCACATTTTGGTTTTATTTTTTTTAAAGAAATTCCCCCAAAACATGTTGAACTGTATTCATGTACAAGTTCTGTCTGGCTCCAAATGAGGCATACTGTACATCATACTACAAAATAATAGAAAAAGAGATGCCACGATAGAGAATATTGTAGATTGCATGTAACACACATATTTCTTAGAATACATTGTGATTTTCTCAGAAGAATTCTGGTTGGTACATTGTAGATAGGTTGCCGTCTAAGTACGATGTGATGACGGTTTGGAGACAAGGCAGCTTGCTAGACATCTTATCTACAGCAGCGATGGGAACATTACACTGAGATACGTCCAAGAACTTGAGGTGCCTACAGTGCATGGCGAGGGCATCCAAGCTCTTCTCAGTGATGAGACATCGAGGAATGGTGAGAGATGAGAGACGAGACGACCCCTCAGCTATGGCTATCACACCTACATCTGTAATCTGGTTGCATTCACTGATCGTCAGATCCCGTAGGTGGGGGTTCTTCTTTGCGATGGACTCGAGGCTTTTGTCGGTGACATTCCGGCACATGCGCAGATCCAGGGTTTGCAAGCGAGGGAAGGATATGCTCTCCTGAATGCATAGGTCTGTCAGATGATGGCAAGCTGCCAGGTTGAGATACTCCAGAGTCTTGATGGCGTTGATTGCTACTCTTGATGTAGATTTGAGGTATTCCTGCATCTCATCTTCTGGCACGGTCAAGATGACCTCTTCGAATTTTGCTGGCCTGAAGAAGCCCATGTTGCTGTGACTGCGAGTGTAGCGGTCACTGCTGTGCTTAGAGGATTCATCAGGAGGAGAGATAACTGGACAATCTTTGTCCAGTCCAAGGAGACCAAAGTCGGTGATTCGCTGACACCAGCTGAGGTTGAGCCGTCTCAGGCAGTGGAGCTTGGCCGAGATGCGATGAACGCTGAGGTCTGTCATGGCATGAGATGAGCTGAGATTGAGTTCCTCAAGATCTGGTGTAGCATCACAGATGCAGAAGACCACATCATCATCCACCTGAGGACAACCTTGAAGATTCAGAGATCTCAAATGTGAGAAGGAAGCACCCTTTAATCCCTTCAGCATCTGAGCGCCTTTTAGATTGAGGTTACTTGCCAAGCTTAGATGGGTCAACTTGGTCAGGTTTGACGTCAGCTGCTCAAAGGTATCCTGAGGAATGGACTTGAGTTTGTTTAGATTCAGTTTCTCCAAGCTCCCGAGATTCTGCGTGATGGCGTTGATAGCAACGTTTCCTACAGATGGACATGATGCCAGGATTACTTCCTTTAAGCTTGGCTGAAGATGTGCAAGATTCTTCACACCCTCATCTGTCAGATGGGTACACCTCACCAAAACAATTCGCTTCAGTTTGAGATTTGGTACGTTGGCTAGGGATGTCAACGCCTCACTGGTTACTGTAGTCAGACTAAGGTCCAAAGAGGTCAGAGTTGATGCGGACCTCTTCACAAATGCTAGGAGATTGGAGAAAGTAAGTACAGTGACCGAGTCCTTTCCCATATCTCTGTTGCGGTAGGGGTCCGTCTGAAATGCTATGTTGCATCCCGCAAGAGACAAGTCTTCTAGTTGAGGAGTAGTGGCTACAAACAGGTTGAAAAGTGCATCAGACAAGTACCTGATTGATCCTAAAGACAACTTCTTTAACTTCCTGAAAGCCTGGAGGGCCACCCGTTTATCTTCCTCCTTCTGCAGAAGGGTACCAGACATGAACATACTGTTGCAGCAGCTCAGATCAAGTGACACCAGGTTGTCGCAGTGGGCAAGGATGCCTAGGAACATCTTCTGTGTAAGGTCACATCCTTTGAGGCATAGATACTGGAGATGCGGACCAAGGTGCCGACCAACTTCTTTCAGGAGAAAGTCTGCATTGGATCCTTCCACATAGGTGATGACTAGCTTTGGACTCTTTCTTTGTCCAAGGTCCTGAAGATGTTTTCCCGCTGAAGATGATGCTCTCAGGGTGATCTGCGTGTTCCTGTGGAGTGCAGGATCTAAGGAGGCTTGGAACCAGTCTTGACAGACCACAGAAGCCTCCTCCCGATCAGCATAGCAGAGGAAGTTAAAGATGTGAGCTATAAGCTGAAAAGACAAAATAAAGAATAAAACAGAACTTAATTTTCTATCATCTGATATCAAAGCAGATTTAACAGCGATCTTAAGAAAAAAATGTCGTTAACGTTTCACCTTTTTAAAAACTGTACAAATACTGTGAGAAGTACATTAACAGATCCACAATAAAGATGTACATTTATGTTTAAACTTTGCTGAAATTACAGCATGAGGGTAAACTCTCACAAAGAAATAGAGTCCATTATCTTACAAGCAGGCATTGTTTCAAATTGATACATTTCAGTTCCGATTCACAACTTGATTTCCTTATATCATTGATCTGTAACCACTAGTATATTAGTGTCAGTATGGTGGCAGTATAGGTATAAGGAGGTATTGGTAATGGTACAGGTATGTACATAGATGTAGATACTAAAAATCAGCATTGGTATCAGGACTTTGAATCAGAAATGGTATTAGTATAGGACTATAGGTCCTCTGTATCAATATTCATACTTGTCCAATAGTATCAATATTATAATGGTGTCAATATTGAAGTCAGTAGTCAGTACGTATGAATATTTAAAATTTCCTCAACAATAATTCCACATTTTGTGGTTTGGAACAAAATATGACAGATGCATGAGAAGAAAAAGTTCTTGCACATACTGCATCCATTTTAGTTTCATGACTATGTTGCCTTTGATGAGAGCACTTTTTTTGCCTAAAGGAAAATAAGCTTCAATTGCTTAAATTGGAAACATGTTCAGAGATTAAGAATCATTATTTCTATCAAAATTGGCAATTTTTCAACTTGTTGACAACATTCTTGTTACATTGTTGTCAGAGATATTAAATTTGATTTTAATGCACATTTAGCATAATAGCAATAAAAGAAAAAAATAAGGATTGTTGCCAATTTGAAGAAGAAAGTGTGATCAATTTAGCCCAAGTTCAAACAAATCCTGTCCTGAAAGGGTTAAGTACTGATGTCAGTGTTGGAATTAGAAACAGTATACACCAGTTTACGGTTGTGTGAGCCATTTTAAACAAAGCCAATGATCTAGAGGTCATGTATTTATGCGTAAATTAAGATTGCGCCCATGCAAATTATGATGATATCACTACCTACGTGCTGCATTGTGCGCGCACATCATCATTTGCATGGGCGCAATCTTAATTTACGCATAAATACCACTGACCTCAGGTCATTGGCTTTGTTTCAGGGCCAATGACCCGAGGTCAACTGTCTGCGCATGCGCACTGATACAACCGTAAACTGGTGTATTGTTGCCATCAATGGAATCAAAATTGTTATCAGTGTTGGTTACTATTTATCACTTTGGTGATGGTACTGCCACAAATTCATTCCAAATATACATGACATGGACTTTTTCTGAAGCCATCTTTATACTGACATTTTCTTGACCACAATGACTGTACACAAATATCAGCATTATCACAAATGAGTATGGAGGTAGTTTTGTCCCTTTAGAAGCTATACCGTAAGTAGTGTCATATCCTGAAGTTAGTTGAGACTTGCATCATTTCAAAATGAGTCATTTTGGCATTGACCAATTTCTGTGTGTTATTGTACAATACAGTGAAACAAATAATTTTTGTTAAATGTCTCTTAATCAGAATTCTGTTTATTCATGTACATGTACTCCAGCAACCTCCTAATAAAGATCACTGGCCTATGACAGCATTTCTTGTCTCCTTTAAGAAGTCTTGATAGTATGTCTAACTATATTATTATTATCTCAACATTAAAAAGAATAAATTTGTAGAATTTTGAAATGTACTGTCTAGAAGCTGTTCTAATAACAATCTAGTTTCATAAAGCGCTTGATACGAAATACTGTCTCTAAATGCTTTACAGATATTATTACCCAGGTCAATCGGTCATCAGATTCATTCATCATTCATGCACAATGTGCACCATCTCCACTCCCTGGGGAGTATACTTTCCATATGGTCACCGTGAGGGCATATGGCAATTACTAACACAAAGGCTTTCATCATTCTACCAGATCCTTATTTCTCTCCTGGGGATGGAGTGGCAAGTGTAGATTAATGCCTTGCCAAAAGACGTTAGTGCAGTGGTGGGGATCAAATCCACAACCTTTTCAATTTCAAGTCAAGTGCTTAAAAGCCACTCGACTACGACACCTCTATTACTAGAAGCTGTTCTGAAGATTTGGTTAAGGGGGAAATAAGATTGATTTTGGGGATGGGGGACCGGTAGGATGACGAAAGCATTTGTGTTAGTAATTGCCTATGCCCTCATGGTGACCATATATGGTAGGAATACTCTCCAGGGAGTGAAGATGGTGCACATTGTGCATGCATGAATCCGATGACTGGGGTAATAATATCTGTAAAGCTCTTAGAGACGGTATTCCGTATTAAGCGCTATATAAATCCGGATTATTATTATTTTGGATTTCCAAGTTATAGGATCAGCAAATCATAAGCATTTGACCCAAAAGGCTCTAAGCCTGTCAATTTGTTAAAAGATAATTCATTTCTCCTTTGAGACTTGAGAGCCTTTATTCAAAATGTAAGAGAAATCACTGTTAAAGATGTTCTACCATATTGTAATAAAGATAATAAATTACTTCAATAATTTTGTCAGTACTCAACTTCATCTTTCTCTTTAAACTTATCAGTAATGAAATGGGTGGTGGTGGTGGTGAGTGTTAAGTTTATTCTGGCAAGGATCTTTGTTTGAAATAGGAGTATTTCAACTGAAATAGGAAAATTGGTAAGATGTCCTACCATACTTATAGTTGTACCGGTACGTTAATAAAGATTATTGATTACATAAAATAGGACCAGCAAAAATCATAACCTTGTGACCGAGAATGCATTAAGTATGCATTACATTCATATTTTTTGGTCCTCCTTTTAATCTTTCTAAATTTGTTATCCCATATCCCCAAAATTCAGAAAATGAAAAAGAAAAAGAGCCCAGATGAGGAACAAACTGACAGAATTGTTGACTTACATGTACTAAGTACGTAGTAACTATACAAAGTGTAGTTACAAATTAAAAAGGTTTTTTGGTAAGATCTCTTCAGTGAAACATTTTCTACATGAAATAACAAGATTAAATTTGAACAAAAAGGATTTGTAATAACAAAACAAAACAAAATACAAAAATGATCATGTAAACTCAATCAGTCACCAAAAGCATGTAATAAATATTTGTTCTTCCTTTTTAATTTCTGTTATAAATATTGACCCTGGCCCAGCTCAGCTCCCATATAAATATGTGCAAAGCTGATAAAGCTATTAATTTTATTAAGTTAATACAAATTATTGAACTTTGAGTTTGATCTAGCAAGTCGTCGTCGAGTTAAATTGAACAATTTATAACATGGGTGTGTTACTCCAAATTTGGATCTGTCTTGCTATTTCAGGTAATTTAGTTCGTACATCAACTCCATCAAAACATTAAATCTTTACAAACATTACATGATTAGTTGTAAATATAATCCTTCAATCATCATACAAATGTAGATCTATCGGTCCACGACTACTGAATAGTCATGCCCATGAACGGAACGATTTAGCCCCATGGCTTCGGCGTAACCTTCACTGTGGCACCGCTGAAATCCTGCTGCAATAAAATCATCAATAATTAACAGTTAAATGGGAGGACATGTGAATAATGTATAAACTTACCTCTTGCGGTAAATTGTCGGCCATGTTGTAGGATGTTGTTACACTATCTTGGTGTCATTCTAGTGTAAGATTTCAGCAAAATCGTTTATAGAGTCTATGCCGATCTCACAATTATGTAAACATGGTGTGGGTCACATGCTGAGCTCTGCGCATGTGTGAAACAAGAATTGAATAACAGTTATAACACACACACATGCATGAGGCTGAGGGGGGAACTGATATGAGAGGCGAGGGCGGGGGGCGTGGTGTGCAGTGGGCAGTAGCGTACGCAGGATTTTTCAAAGGGGCGGGGGGGGGGGGGGGGGGTTAACATTTTTAAATCGGGCTGAAATTTTTGCATCGACTATGCCAGCCGCTGAATAAGCGGGAGGGGGGGGGGGGGGGGGAAGAGGACATATATTTTTTTTTTTTTGGCCCTCAAAATTTGAAAATTTGCCGGGTCAACTTTTCGTTCCGTTGGGGGGGGGGGGGGGGGGGTAACCGGGTAAGGTCACCATTTTAAGGTCACCCAATACACACATTAAAAAAAACCAAGGGGGGGGGGGCCTGGCAGTGGGTCTGGCCCGTCTGGGCAGGGTTTGAATTTCAGTTGTGAATTTAATGATACTGAACCAGAGCAATAGTCACACTTTCACAGGGGTGCAGACAATGGGTCAATGTTTGTTTCTATCATTATAAAGCTAGCTAGCCTAATGCTGAAATATTAGCCGCCCCCTCGTTCCCATCACCTCCCATATAATTATATCCCTGAGCCCAGGCGCGTACGCAGGATTTTTTCAAGGGGGGGGGGGGGGGTTTAACATTTATAAATCGGGCCGAAAATTTCGCAACGACTCAGCCAGCCGCTGAATAAGCGGGGGGGGGGGGGGGGGGGGGGGGGGGGTAAGAGGACACTTTTTTTTGGGGGGGGGGGGTCTCGAAATTTGAAAATTTGACGTTTTGCTCCGTTGGGGGGGGGGGAGGTCAGCTTTTTTAGGTCAGCCATGGGAATTTTTTTTTTTTTTTAAATAAAAAAAACAAAAAACAAAAACAAAAATCCAAAGGGGGGGGGTTTAGGGGGGTTTAGGGGGAGTTTACACACAGAAAAATACCAAAGGGGGGTTTAACCCCCCAAACCACCCCCCCCCCCCCCCCCCCCCCCCCCCGGTACGCGCCTGCCTGAGCCCGAAACAGATCCGAAACCTGGTGAGGTCAACTTTGTTCAAAGGAAATACTATGATATGAAGGCTGTAAAATATATGTATTAGCAGATGCCAATTTATTATATATTATGTATAATTCAGAATTATAGTTATAATTCAAAAGTCAAGCATCAATGATGTTTGCATGTTCATATCGTTTGCTAATTATGCTAAAATCCAACATTATGCGTTACCGGTACTAGCTCAAGAATGAAAAATGGCTCAATATTTGTTTCTTCTTATTTTCTTTCTCCAGTAGAGCAGCTGCATTAATTGGCTCTTTTCCTTTCTCTCTCTCTCTCTCTCCTTTTCCCCCTTTCTATATATCATTTCCACCGGTGATATGTCATCAGCAAATGTAGTTAAAGATGTGCTGGTGGTGTATACCCTTCGCATTTTCCTGATATTGCGCCATATTAATCCGAGAGTCTTTCAATATTTTGAAACAGTGCTATGCTTTAGAATCACATGATTGAAGGGGATTGAAGAGGAAAATATAAGTAGAAATAGGGTAAGGGAGAGGGGAGATCGGGGGATGGGGGGGGGGGGAGGCGTAAGAAACATTTTGCCTAAAGGAAAGAGGATAAGAAAGATCTGGCAAAGAAAAAAAAGGGAGAGAGAGAGAGAGAGTCCGGCGGCCTCATAAAAAAAAAAAAGAATTGGCAACATAATTCCCTTGGGAAAACTCAGTGATCAAGTGGGTGCAGGTGCAGTAAGCAGTTGCATAAAAAAGATCCCCCTCCCCAGCCCAGCCCCCTCGATCTCCAGAAACACTCCCTCCATCCTCCTCCCCAGACCACTCCCCCAGCCCCCTCCCCAGCCCACTCCCCTAGCCCACTCCCCCAGCATCCTCCCCCAGCCCCCTCCCCAGCCCACTCCCCAGCCCCTTCCCCAGCCCCTCCCCAGCCCACTCCCCCCCCATCCCCCTCCCTCAGCCAGGCGCGGATACAGAATTTCTTAGGGAGTGGGCCCAACTTTTTTTTTTCCTCCCGAAAATTGCGCCGGCCGAAAATTCGCTCAGTGGGGGGGGGGGGGGGGGGTGTAGTGAGCACAATTTTTTTTTTTTTGCCCTCGAAAATTTGAAATATTGCACCCCCCCCCCCCCTTGAGCATCAGGGGGGGGGGGGCCATCTCCAAAAAAAAGGGAAATTTAACGTTAAAAAATGTAAAAATACAGGGGAGGCCCCCCCCCCACCCCCACGCCGCGCCGAAAATTCGCTCAGTTGGGGGGGGGGGGGTGTAGTGAGCACAATTTTTTTTTTTTTGCCCTCGAAAATTTGAAATATTGCACCCCCCCCCCCCCTTGAGCATCAGGGGGGGGGGCCATCTCCAAAAAAAAGGGAAATTTAACGTTAAAAAATGTAAAAATACAGGGGAGGCCCCCCCCCCCCCCCACCCCTGGATCCGCCTCTGCCCCCAGCCCCCTACCCAATCCGTGTCGACCCCCGTATCCAGGGATTCATTTTGACCTCGCCTCGATCATACGAACTTTTGAATACACACTGAAACAGCTCTAGTATAGGCCAAATGCAATGGCAATGCACATGAACATTTGCATCATATCGTACACGTGTACGGTAAGCGTACCGCGTACTGTACCTACATAGGCCTACACAATCCTACAGGATCACAGTGTATATAATTATAGACTCTGGATGTAAATCTTTGTAGCTACGATTGATTGTCAGAGTATTTTGTTTCTAGATTTGTTGCTTCACTCACTTGACAATGGCAGAGCACGTTGATACTGGCAATGCTGACCTGGACAAGGCTATAAAACAATGGCTGGAATGGGATAAGGTAAGTGGTCCAAAAACAAAATGCTTTAGGGCCTACTTGTCATTTGATTTCTGTGGTATTTTTTTAAAAAGGTTGTTCACATCCTCGACGTTAATGCACGAGAAGAGCGGCGTACTACGTGCTGCTGAGGATGCGACGATGAGGTCTGTAGTAGAGAGTTGTTACCGGCCAAACGCCGGACTAACCGGCGAGCAGTAGCATAGTGACATTCGCCGGATGCTTGGAGAGACTAGGGGCTTAATCATGTTTCACCTCAAGTTACAGTAGAGCCTACACGTACTAGAGTCTATATTATAAGACAATCTAGGTTTTAATAATAATATTAAGTTGCAATCAATAAAACACAAATTGGCAACTCGGTGACAGATATGTAAATCATGCGAGGTAGATCTATCTCCCTCCGATATGTTCTGCACTAGACTTCTAGATCTATAAGGAAATAATATCAGGAGTATCTATTTTCCTTGAAAGTTTTCAATATGGTACATACGTGGCTACATGCACCCTATAATTTTTGCAAATATGTTCCTATACTGGCTATAGGCCTAGTCTATACAACAAAATTACAAGAATTACAACCCCTGTAGGCTGGATCATGATGAAACAAATCTATTCTGTCATTACTCAATAACTAAGAATAGAGGTCTATAAAGTTTATTAAATTTCTGTAGATCTACAGTGCAAATTTGAGAGGACCCTACTGTGTTAGAGAGTGCCTTCTTGGCTAGTGCTGTGCAGGTTTTGATCTCTCTGGTGTTGTATCCAGGCCTGATAATTACCCGATTTAAATCGGTTTTCTGATTTTAATTTTTTTTTTTTTTTTTTTTGGTTACCCATTTTTTTTTCTTCCCAATTTTATCCTTATTCCCAATTTTATCCTTATTTTCCCCTTATTTTCACCTTATTTTCTCCTTATTTTCTCTATTCTACCCTATTTTCCTAGTTTTCTTACTCAAAAGGGGGAAATGTTGTTAGATGAAACTGATGAATCCTCTTCTTTATTTTTTTTACTCAAGGGGAGCTGGTTTAGGTAAATCTAGGCTGGATGGAGCAATTGCTCAATAAGAACTCTTATACTCTTTTCACACTGGTTTTGCTTAATCCCGTACTTTGCTTAGCCCCGTACTATCCTTAACCCCGGACTATTTTTTTTGGCTTTTCTCACTGCAATTCCTTAGCCCCGTACTAGCATTTCTGTTCTCATTCATTTGCTTGGCACCGCAATTGCGGAGTTAGCAGGAGTTAACGAGTTAACGAGTTAACGCAATTGCGAGGTTAGCCCTGCTATTTTGCAGGGTTAGTTAACCCCGTACTATAGGTGGGGTTAGCCCACTTTGGTAAAAACGAGTCTGAACAGAAAGTGGAATAGGCTTAACCCCGGACTATAGGTAGGGCTAAGACCCCCCCCCCCCCTTTAACCCCACCTATAGTACGGGGTTAAGCAAATTTTTGCCAGTGTGAAAAGAAAGTGGAATAAGCTTAACCCCGTACTATAGGTGGGGCTAAAACCCCCCCCCCCCCCTTTAACCCCACCTATAGTACGGGGTTAAGCAACATTTTGCCAGTGTGAAAAGAAAGTGGAATAAGCTTAACCCCGGACTATAGGTGGGGTTAAGATACCCTTTAACCCCACCTATAGTACGGGGTTAAGCAAAATATTGCCAGTGTGAAAACAGTATTACAATCATCCTACAGTTCTTGCACTCTGACACTGTTGGTATGAAGGGAAAAATAAACAAACATTTTTTGTTTGTTTTCTCAGAATATGGCAACCAGACAAGAGGTCACAGAGCTTCTGAATGACCACAATGTCGCAGAGCTGCAGGAGAGATTTGGAACCAGGATCCAGTTTGGAACAGCAGGTGAGCTTACTTTACTTACCGTAATTAACGGTGTATAAACCGCCCTCGTGTATTAACCGCACCCCCTACTTTGAAGTTTTTTCGGCGGCAAAAAGGTGCGGTTAATACACCATTAATTACGGTACTTACTTTACTTTTATACACGATGTTGTAGGTCTAAGCCTGTTCACCGAGTCAGGATTCTTCCATGATTACTGCTATTTGTGGAGGGAGGAGCTTGTCTCGGACAGTAAATCCCAGACATCAACCCTTGCCCTAGACAGAAATAACCGTCTGGTATGGGTCAAACTTAGGTCAAACTGACATTTGTCAACCTTCTCCATACACATAGAGGCAACCAGTGGAGCCGGATGTAATCTCAGCGGAACAACCGTAGATATCAGAGCCTGAGTCTTTCGGTCTACCCTTGTCCTTGAAGCTTTAAACAAATATTATTAATAAACTTCTATGGATTCATTTTTAGCTTCAAGTGCTTGTTTTATTTCATTTTAAATTGGGGCATAAATGCATGTTCCATTTGAATAAACCGTTTCAAGAAGTAGAGTGCAACGTCATGCAATACTCAAACAGGACTATTTTCAAATTCTTGGGCAGATTTTGCCGTCCATGGTATTGAAAGGAGTAATGAAACTGAGAGCTTATAATGTGTATGTGTTTTTAAATACTAATGATGATAAATGCTGCACAGCAAGGATATGATGAGATGTATTTTGTGATTGCAAATTATGATCTTCAAAGATAGAGTTTATTTGTGTTATATTGTATAGCCTTCATGAAGATTAGAGTTCTTTTGAACTGTATTGCATAATTACAGTTTACCAGGGAAATTTGTATGTAGCCCTTGGGAACTCTATTGATACTTTAAATTTAGTAGAATGAAAAGATATTATGTATTACATATTACAGTGTACGTGTATGATAGTAGTACCTATTCAGTGCCTTACTTTATGCTCCCCTGCCCATGCAATACACGCAGGCACAATCTGAATTATTGATGTGTTTCTGGTGTCCCTGTCAGGGTCCCTGTGGTATGAAGGCATAAAACTGGCAACTGATTTGAAGTCGAGATGAAGACATCATGGTGTCTTCTGTATAAGAAAGTCAGTGAGCTAGTGCCCGGGAGTAAGAGTCAAGCATCAATAAGTCGGATTAAAATTAAAGTTATTGGTCCCCTTGGGCTTACCCGCAAACATAATTTCTTTTCATAGTACATGGGTATAATAATGATCATCATAATAATGATACGACTGTAATTTAAAAACTGTAAAATTTAAAAACTAATACAATTTGTAATCTTGTTAGTAATTCCAGAGTCTAAACCCCTGTTTATTTTGGATTGCATTTGGGACATTGTCATTGAAGTTTGAAGTTTTATTGTTCCACATTATACAGAAAATATAGACATACATATAAAGTAAAAAATTATACACTACAATTGTAGTATAAATGAGTACATCTCAATGATTCTCAATTCATATAATAGATTAAGTAGAATGTGAGGAACCTATTAAAAAGCAATGCTTGTATTACACAGGTTCCTGAAAAAAATAAGTAATGTAGATGAAAAACAGTAGCAGTAGAGAAAGACGTAATTTAGAGGAGAGAATTTAAAACACAATGAAATAAGAACACTTGAATACAAAATAATGCATTAGCACCAAATACCCAGTCATTGTAATGAAGTTGTAATAAAAGTTGTAACTGTTGTATTGCATGGTCAGGATAATAAAATGTAACGATTTTGTTTATAGGTTTGAGAGCTGCTATGGAGGCTGGTACAGCAAGAATCAATGACCTTATCATCATTCAAACAGCTCAGGTAAATTCATTACTCTATTAATAATATTGATATCTGATGACCAGGTAATAATATATCTTTAAGCATGGTATATCTGTAATTTGCCAGATTCGCCAGAAAAATTACGATGTTTTAATGACGTCACATAATGGACCAATAATGCCCAAGCAGACAATATCCCATAAAGAATGAACATACATGTAATTGCAAAGCTATTATTTCTCAAATTATAATGAGTTTAGTGTATATAAATGTGATGGCATTTCACACCATTCAAAAGGGGATATGAAACCGATTCTGATAACTAGATTCTTTTGTTTGTAAATGCACAGGATAGGGGTTAATTAACAATCAAAGAAATTAGACTTTCAAATTGAAAAAAAAAACCCGAATGATATTAAGGACGGCATTTGTTCCCTCTTAAACGTCGAACATACTGCGGTATGTGCAGCTGAATATACAATGGAGTCTTATTTTGTTAACAAGTGGCAGATTCCTTTATTTTTGTATCGCTGCATTTGTCATCAAAATAAAACCATGCCCGGGTTTAGAGTGAGGCAATAGATTATACATTGAGACTGACGGAAATGAAGTAAGAGAAAGAACTCAAGAGAAGATGAAAAAAACAGGCACTGAGAATGTGTGAGATGCCATGGGACATCATCTGCTTTTGGAAATCATGTCCATCCTGTGATCTCACACATTTTAGCAGCGTTCAGAGAGCTCTTCAGGTGCTATGCCAGGGCTGTATTTAAGCGTTTTGTAATTTATAATAATCATTACTTCGAATGTTTCCAAGCATTGAATTTTGATAACCATGTCGAATCAAAGTTTCAACTTTGCAATAATGAAAATAAAGTTAGTTTTTAAACTCAATGAATATCTACTTTAAGTTTCTTTAAATCCATCCTTCTAATCTTCTAGGGTCTCCTAAGATACATGGAATCCACCAATCCAGAATGCAAATCACAAGGTGTCGTTGTCGCATACGATGCAAGATACTCCAGTGATAGGTAGGATGTACTTCTTTTCTGTTCAAGAGTAAAAATTGATATCGATAGCTTAGTGGTAGAGCAGAGGTCTCGTTACCGGGAGGTCCCGGGTTTGAAACCAAGTCGATACGCTAGTACCATGTGGTAAGGCATTAATCCTCATCGCTAAGTCCCTCCGAGAGGACTTAAAGCTGTCAGTTCCTGGTTGCTTACTTCAAGCATACAAATGCTTTCTTAGCAGTCAGGTCAAACAAACCAAAAGGTGTTGGTTTATAAATTTCAGAACTATTGAAAATAACTATTAAAAATGCCTTTCAATTTCACAATATCTATTGTGAAGGGTGATGATATTGCTTATGTACAGCTTAATTAAAGATTTTTAGTGCCTCAAGCTAAATTTGGAATTAACAAAGACTTAATTATATGCCATTTTGTGTTGCATCAAGTCTTCAATTTCTTGTTATATGAAAGACTTAATTACATTAATCTTTCCATTGGAGAATGATTGTAAGAAAGTTCAAGAGCTTTAGTTTTAGATTCAGCTTTATCTAAAGTACATGTAGGCTTCATGGGCAACTTTTTAGAAAAATCAGAAAAGCTATTAATCAACAGCCATAAAAATATATACCGGTAGCTCTTCTTTTGAGTTTCTGAAGATGACCAATTAGGATATTACAACCAAATCCTGGCACTCATAAATGGACAGTGCTGTCAATTATGTTGACCATATGATATTAATATCCTGCACGTATTGCCCCTACATGGACAACTATCAGAAATTTTCCATTACATACCATTTGACCTTTGCCCACAAGAGTTTATCTTGTGCATGCATGTACATTGTATGTAAACCACTTATGGAAACTGATCTGCTTACCTTAGAAAGGTGCACAAATACACCTGAATACATACTACTGAATCCTTGTTGAGCATTTCATATTTTAAAGCAGTTTCTTCCTATATAATTGCTCAACGTGCATAATTATTCATGGGGCTCTTTTCAAACCAAAACATTTCCCTGACCAGGATTTTTTTTCGGGGGGGGGGGGGGGGGGGGGGGGGGGGGGGGGGTTCAGATAAAATCACCCTGCTGCCAGATGTGCAGTTTGTTTTTGGTGCATATTGTGTAATGCTGTCAAAGACTCAGGACAGTATAGCAGAGCTTTATTGAGCTACATTAAATTTTAGCTCAATGGTTGAAAAATACTCAAGTAACAGGAAATCTCATCTGTCAATGCAAAGATTATGGATTGACATCCTGATATGACTAAATTTATTTTGAACCTCTTATGCTTAGGAAAAATACAATTATACAATTTACAAGAATATAGGGATTGCAATATATACATATACAAAGGGGAAACTTTTCCCTCTCTAACCTTAAATCACTGAAAATATCTTCAAATTATTTGTTATATTGTCTTGTTTCTGAGTTATAATGATGTTTTTCAAATTTTGTATATGGGTACTTGACATATGTGTTAATGTACACTACAGTGTGAGTCAAAAAAAAGTTTACACCTAGAAAATTGCTAATTATTTAAAAAATCATCGATGAACATTAAACTGTTATATGTCTTATGAAAGAGTGTTTTATCCCAAATCATTTGGTACCATTTTTGTGCGGTATCTGTTCACGCTTGGATGAACAGGAGACATTGTTTGCGAGAGTGCAAAAATCGAATTGCGCCAAAGTTGTCTATGTGATGTTTGAATAAAACAATTGGAATTTGGGTATTAATTCAGTCTTTGCAGATCCAAATAACACCCCTAACAAAATTAATCATGCCACACATATCAAATATTGAATATCAAATATCAACTAACATTTGTGCGTGTGTGTGTGTGGGTGTGTGTGACTTTGCCCTTTGCAAAAAACATATGCAATGCATTTCATTTGATACATTTAATCCATTCTCTCACTCCGCTAATCCCAACATAATACATACTGAAGGCATCACTTTGGCACAAGTTGATTTTTGCACTCTCGCAAATAATGCCACCTGTTCATCCCAGCGTGAACACATACCACACACAAATGGTACCAAAAGATTTGGGATAAAACACTCTTACTGTTCATAGATGATTTTAAAAATAATTAGCAATTTTCTAGGTGTAAACTTTTTTTTGACTCACACGGTATGTGTATATTGCACTCTTTTGAAAGTAGACATCCATAAAAGTGATCTTCACTATTTGAAGTGGATCAAACAAAACTAGTCACTATTGGAGAAATAGGAGATTGGTCTATTGTCTAAATAATTTTGTTATTATCAACTTTGAACCAAGGCTTAACCTAGCACCAGGTTATAGTGCAATACAGATCCTTCTTGCTCAAGCTATACTTAAAAGTCCCTAGTCTACTGATATTTTCACTTGATCATGATAAACACTTATTAAAAGTTGTATATTCACAATATTTGAATAATTGTACATCATATAAAATATGGTAGTTTCTCTTTTAAAGCCTGCACTAGTTTGGCCAGGAGGGATTAGACCTCCCTGCATGGTCACTGACAGGTGGTTATCTCATCAAATCAGCTCTCCATTATTAACATAAGAAAAAGGAGATCATGGGGGACCAACAGGTACCGCTTAGGCATTGTTTGCTATATAGAGGGCGCAATAGTAGCTATAAGTAGTGCAGTGGGGCTTTAAATTAACTTTGGATGCTGATATGATTTTTTTAATGTTTTGTATTTCTTTCAGGTATGCTCACTTAACTGCTTCTATTATGCTACGGGCAGGTATACCCGTCTATCTCTTCTCAGGCATAGTGCCAACACCTTTTGTGGTATGTATACAATAAATACAGTTGTTATACCTAATAATAATTCAAACATATATTACATTGTATGTGCATGATGTGTCGTATCAAAGTTTGGGTAGTCTGAACTTCCTATGGCACTGACAAATTTAAACACAAGATATCTTGACAGCCATCTACTCTACAAAGTATAGTATATTTTATATCTTTCCATGCCTCCGCCCACTGAAGGTGATGCTGGAGCCATTATGTTTTGTGGTTGTGCGTCTGTCCGTTCGTGCCACTTTCTCGTTATCACAATAGGAAGATGACCTAATTAGATTTTATAAATAGAACAAATGTCAAAGGTCATAGAGGTCAGTTTTTGAAATAAGAGATATTACCCTTGTTATCACAATATGTCAAGAACTTCTTGAGGTATGAGCTTCAAACATGGTGACAGCATTACTATAGGAAGATGATCCAATTACATTTTGGGGCTTGTAGGTCAAGATCATAGTGGTCAGTGAACATTTGATCATAAGCTTTTTGTTTTCATTGTGATATATATCAAGAATAAATTCATCCATTTCCTATACTGAATTTAGGGTGGTGGCATCTAGGAGACACAGTTGCATTTGTCTGTGTATGTTCTAGCCTTACATATATAAACTGATCCCTTTCCTTACAGCCGTATGCGATTCGAAAGTATGGCTGTGCTGCTGGTGTCATGGTAACACCTTCCCACAATCCCAAGGGAGACAACGGGTACAAGGTTTACTGGAACAATAGTGCTCAGGTACACCTCTCTCTTATTCATATCTGTATGTATTAATTCACAAATAACTCTAAATGTAATTTGTTCTTGTTTTACAAGGTTGTTCTTGCTTAATCATTGGCTTAATAACTAATGTTTAGTATACCAGTACAATTTAGACTCTCACATAATACATATAAGTACGGTACTACCAGTCTAAAGAATAAAGTTTCATTCATCTCTCATGACATAATTTACATGCCTTTTGAAATGTATCCCAGATTGATTTCATAATATATCTATCAGCGTGTTTCATGTACCAGTACCTTGGCAGGGGTATCAAGATAATTATGTAATGATCTCTTGTTACTGTCATGTCTGCATGATATAGTATATGATATGTTGATGAAGATCATTTTCACTTTTGCATACTTCAAATTGAAGTCAACTGTATTTATATTGTTTTATATTTAAAGAATGAAATCAATAAATAACTGTGACCTATGAACTTCTTGTGGTAGTGCTGTGGTATATTAGTGAAGGCTCTTGGCTCCTATACAAAAGCCCTGTATAGGAGCCTTGGTGCTTAATCCTTCGACAAGGTATTTTGCTCACATTTCTCCGGGTGACCCAGGCCAAACGGGATATTGATTGTGAATTAGTTTGTTTTGTTTTCTTATGATTGAGGGGATTAGCATTTTAATAAGACTCTTGTCTTCTCCCTAATCTTCCAATGCTTCATTCTAAGTTGTTATTAATATTTATTTTTTATTTGTTACTGTAATCTGATATGTGTCATTATATATTAACATCCTTGTTTATATGAAAATTTTAAACTGAACTGAACGAAGGTGTATTAAAGCTTATCTGCCGTAGTTTATAGGAGGGATTAGACTGCCCTGCAAGGTCACTGGACAGGTGGTTATCTCATCAACTCAGCTCTCAGTTAACATAAGAAAAATAGGATCATGGGGGACCAATGGTCACCGATTAGGCATTGTTTGTTATATAGAGGGCACAAGTAGCTACAAGTAGTGCAGTGGGCCTTTAAATGAATAACAGGCAATGCTGGGGTAATAATTGCATGGCACTGAGGAAGAGCGATGCTAAAACTTAAGTGGTTTACCTGAGTGAAAAAGACTAACTTGTTATTTTTGTAATGATTTATCTTTGCCTAGATCATCAGCCCTATTGACAAAGGAATCGCCAAAAACATTGATGAAAACTTGGAGCCATGGTCGGATTCCTGGGATACATCCATCTTAACAAGAAGCAAACTATTGACGGATCCTTATGATGATGTACTAGATGCTTATATCCAAGACCTACAACAAAAGTGTCTACATAGGTATGAAGATTTGATTTTTGGGGTAGCAAAATATCTGTTTGTGGAAAGAAAAGAAAGCTAATGGATTTGTATAACAAGTACTGATTTTAAAATGGTCTCAGTGAATAAAATGTCTAATGTTCTATAAGAATATCATACATTATGTGTACTTGGATAGAAATATCGATTTGAATATCATATGAAATAACAATTTCCTATTCTATATCTACTATAGGTAACATGATTATCTATTGTTTTTTGTTGTTGTGTGCGTTAGACACTGAATGATCTTAAAACATGCAATCCCAAATTCATGGGGTAAATTCCATATTAAGAAGTATGGGTATTTACATTGATTTAAGGCTATTCAATTATCAAAGACTCTTTAGCCATTGAATGTATTTGATGTTGGATATTTATCTCCCAAATTCACTGTCTTTACTTCATAAAATCTATAATTCAGATGCACTGTTACTGGATTTTTAAGGTAATCTTTTTCTGTGATAAAGGTGAGTGGCCTACTATCTTATAATGATACCGGTAATTATTATGTGATGATGATAACGATGAGATGATGCTAGGTTACAGTACCTCATTATTTCCTTCTTTTTTTTCAGAGAAATCAATGAGAAGACACCACTGAGGTTCACATACTCTGCCATGCATGGCGTAGGTACCAAGTTCATCTGTGCTGCAGCCAAATCCTTTGGATTCCAACCTTTGGTAATGGTGAAAGAACAGGTAAGGCAGAGCTTGCATGGCACTGGTCACCCCTTTTCCCCCCCCCCCCTCATTTGGGAAATTACCAATCCTTGTGACTTATATAGTATAATTCATCTGCAGATACAGTTTATTTGCATCATATTAGAAGCATTTCTGATTTGCTAGAGGGGTGTTAAACAAAAATATTCATGATGGTGTTGTGGTTTAGTGGATGCGTTACCGAACTATGGATCACATGGTTTGCGGCACAAGTCCCGCCACGGCAAGACATTAATCTACATTTGCCACTATTCGCCCAGGTGAAGTTAATGGGTACTCCAAAGATAACAATTTCCTTGGATGCTTTAGAGCCTTATAATGGCTTCTCAGGTACAGCCGGAGTAATAATATGATATTTTATATTAAAGGTAAAGACCAGTTATGGTCATGCGATTGCATTGTGAAAGGAACGTTGTGGAATCGATCAGAAAAGGTTGATCATCTAGCATCTAGCATCTGCAAGGTTCTGGAATCATCAAAATGATAAGAAATTTGGCCCATTCTTTGTAAAGTTACAAGCACTATACACAGAAAGATGTATATGGGACTACCCTATATCTCTCACAGACCATGAGAGAAACAAATTTACCAAATATATGAATTAGTAGGCGGTTTCCCGGCAAATTTTTTATCATCATGTATTAGTCAAAACATATTCTTTCACATGATTGGTAATGAGAGCTTCCATTTCATTTTTGAAATTGGGGCGTTTCCAAAACTGGTCTTTACCTTTAAGCGCTGTAGTGTATATTCATATAGTAGCTGCATTATATCAATGTCAATATCATTGTTAATGGAATTGGTGAAGGATTTAGGGGGAACAATTCATTAGATTAAATTAAAGGACAACTAGTTTCTTACAACCAATACATGTGAATGTAATGTTTATAATTGTTTTTTTCATACATTTTCTCATTAGTTGAGAAAGAGCACTTCCCTAAAAATTGAAAGTTAAAAACCCACTGCACTAGCTACTTACGCCCTCTATATAGCAAACGATGCCTAATGATATCTGTATTATTTCTGAATGGATTTGTGATGGGGACATTTAAAAGCTTGAGAAACAGCATTTCCCAAAATTTAAAATTAAGCAATCTTTTCTTATTGGAACATAAATATTGTTTTGAAACCCTTAGGTTGAACCTGACCCTGAATTCCCCACCGTCAAGTATCCCAATCCCGAAGAAGGAAAGAGCGCCCTCGATCTGTCCATGAGTACGGCCGAAGCCAACGGCAGCTCCGTCATCATCGCCAACGATCCTGACGCGGACAGGCTGGCGGTGGCAGAGAAGCAGGGGGACGGACAGTGGAAGATATTCACAGGAAACGAGCTTGGGGCACTCTTAGGGTGGTGGTGCTACTCCTGCGCTAAGCAACAGAATGGATTGGAATCAACAGGTAGGTTTATCATAAGTAATTGTGTATCATTGCTATCGTTATGATAGACTTCTTTTCCTATTTTGTCATTTACATATGCTTCCTTCAAGAACATTTTTTTGAGAAAGTATATAATTCACCTGTTGTAGATGATAACATCTATCTTTAAATACATTTTTAAAAAATCTACACTCACTGATGCTATGGCAGGCTATATCAGGCAAGGTGTGAAGCTTTTATTGTAAAATTTGTGTAGGAACTGTGCAGAAGAATGTACATTTCATCTATTCAGCCAGAAGGGCTGGAAATTATATAGTTAAACACAGAGTTACAGACGATCTGTATGCTGTGCTGATGTAGATGGTAATTGCTAAATTAAGATCTATATCTAAATGGTGTACCCTCATATAGCCTTTTAAAAAGAGATATGGTTATTTCGCGGCCAATGTGGCATTCTTTGTACTGTGTGGATCATACCATATTTTTTCAATGTTTATCAACAGATAGTGATTTGTACATGCTTGCCAGTACCGTCTCATCAAAGTTATTGCAGAAAATGGCAGAAAAGGAGGGCTTTCAATTTATGGTAAGTCGGCATAATAATAACTTGCATACTGTGGTTCGATATTGTTTGTGGAGAAATCGTTCTTGAAAATATCAAAGCACAAACTATTCAAAGCCAACTGTTGCAGATTCACATTCTCTTGTTACATTGATTTTGAAAAATGGGGAGAAGAATGAATTTCATTTTTCTAAGCTGATTATTAATCCTAATATCTAAGAGGGCACAAAGGATATTTACGCCCCCTGACATTTCAACAACAGCGAGTTCCAGGGGCCTGTTTCATAAAACTTGTTATCAATAACAAATGCTAAATTTCTATGAAAAATTTACCCCCAGCCAATCGGATGCCATGATTTCAGGAGCTTATAACAGTAATTGTAAATTGTTATTGATAACAAGTTTGATGAAACTGGGCCCAGGTCTGTGGTGGCAGTGGCTCTGTATGTCCTGTGACAGGACTTCCAGCTACATTTGTCATCCTGTACCCTGGAGAAGAAAAAGCTGAAACCATTATGATGCAATGTCATATGGCAACTGTATGAGAGGAATACTCCAGAGATAGACAGCAATTATAGATCATGTACAGTACCTCGCATAAGCAAGTAGACTCACTGTTTTTAGAAATTCAACTCTGTAAATATGTACATTAGAAAGAAGAGCCTCAGTTGACAACAGTGTACTGGTATATGCCCTTTGATCATAAATGCAAGCCAAGCACAATAAAGTGTTTCCATTGTAACGGACACTGTTTTGTGAAAATTGCATGGGAGTAAAACTCAGTATTGACAGTTTTTACTTCAATGTAGATACCTCTATACTATATTGTGCACATGCACAAATCTTGATGATTTCTTCCTGTCAAGAGTTTTGGAGATTACCCATGATTTAATCCAAAAGTACCTTTATTATTTCCTTCTTGTACTGTAGGAAACGTTGACTGGCTTCAAATGGATGGGAAACAAAGCTGTCGATCTGATCAAAGAAGGAAAGAATGTTGTCTTTGCTTTTGAAGAGGCAATAGGTAAGCTTAATGAATGATTGGGTACTTTGGAGAAATATGCAGTACACATGTGTCACTTTACCCATGGCTAACGGAGTACATTCACCAGACTCTCAAACAAAATGTTGAGTGTAAAGAATTTGTTTGCACCCAGTAACTGAAGATTGTGTGCTTGATCTTGTAATTGACAACAAGTAAAAAAAAAAGTCTTGAAACCAGTGGGATGTGAACTTGCAATCTACTGCTTGACGGTCAGTGACTCTACCACCAGGCCATCACTGGTCCATGGCACAGTCACGATGAACAGGAAAAATGTTGAACAAGGCATTTTATATTAAGTTGTCTCTCTCGACACCAGTGTAGAGCATGGAGGCTACACTCCGACACCATACAAAACCCGCCTTTGTTCATCCATGGATGGTGTTTGCAGCGTAGTGACATCACTATTTTTAAACCGTAAGCAATAGTCAAGCACGTCAAGCAAAAGCTTTGAGCATAAGCAAAAGATTATGCGTGCACATTTAAGCAACTGCTTGAGTTGCGTGAGAAGAATTGCTAATTTTTATGCATACGGCCCAATGATTTGCTTATTAATGACATATATTTACTTGAATCAAGAATGCATTTGTGGGGCTATTTTAGCCTATATTCCTAAATCTTGGTCTGCCTCCAAAGTATGTGGAACTGTAGTGGTAGATCTTTCTACTATGCAGCATGACACTCTTGTATGTTAACCTATAGTTTATATGTAGGACTGTAGTAATTGGTATTACTATACTTACTTGGGTATACTTGGGTGTAGAGACTGGAAGCTTAGCTTATTTGTCCCTCTTTACTGTTGCATCCCATCCTGCACTCATTGTTTATGTATGGGACTGTATTCATAATTGTTACCATATCTTTACCTGCATTCAGGGTTTATGTATGGGACTGTATTCATATTTATTACCATCTCTTTACCTGCATTCAGGGTTTATGTATGGGACTGTATTCATATTTATTACCATATCTTTACCAACATTCATTGTTTATGTATGGGACTGTATTCATATTTATTACCATATCTTTACCAACATTCATTGTTTATGTATGGGACTGTATTCATATTTATTACCATTACCAACATTCATTGTTTATGTATGGGACTGTATTCATATTTGTTACTATATCTTTACCTGCATTCAGGGTTTATGTGTGGGACTATGGTTATGGACAAGGATGGCATCAGTGCAGGGGCAATGGCTTGTGAAATGGCGGCATATCTCAACTCTATCAACCTCACATGCACAGAAAAACTGGACGAAATCTATGAAAAGTGAGTATATTGTGTCTTTATGATGTACAAGTTGACAACCTATCAAAACAAAAAAATTATAAATAGAAAGAAAAACAAATGAAAAGGGGGTTTAAGAAGATTAAGTATGTTTCATTTTCATGTTTCAGTATGCCCTTCCTATATAATAATCACTGGACCATAAAATTAATGATATAATAAATAATAACATACAATTGTTTTATATTAGAACATATCCCACAATGATTACACGTCTAGGTGCTTTCACAGGGCTTTGGAAAGTAACTTTGATAATTAAGCCATTATTCTGATAACATTTTAAGGTTCAGAATATTTCTAAATAACTGTCAATTTTGTTAGCACTGAATCATTTTTCTGAAAAGAATTACAAAATTTTAAGTTTACAATATTCCCTAGATGTCTCATAGTTAGTTTAGGGATCTACCTTTTTTGAAAGGAATACAGCGGGATTGTAAATTGTTGCAATAACTCTCTCCTTCTTCTCTCTCCTTCTTTTCTCTCTTTCTTCTCTCTCTCCCCCATTCTCTCTCCCCCCCCCCTCTTTCTCTCTCCCCCCCCCCCAACTTTCTCTCTCTTCCTCTTTCTCTCTCTTCTCCTCTCTCTTTCCTCTGTCTGTGTCTCTTCTTCCCTCCCCTCTTTCTCTCTTCTCTCTCTCCCTTCCTCCCTCTATCTCTTTCTTTCTCTCTCTCCCTCTCTCTCTCTCTCTCTCGCTTTTCTCTCTCTCTCTTTCAGGTATGGTTACCATGTCTCGAAGAATTCCTATTACATCTGTCTCCAACCTGCAACAATGCAAGCCATGTTTGAGAGAATACGAACTTTGAACCAAGGCTCGGTGAGTACAATATCTCCATGAATGAAATAAATGACTACTGAGCTCAAGATTACTTGGGCTCAAAACTGTATTAGCATGTTAAATTAGGTGTTATATATTTTCAGTTGCAACAGTATTTTCAAATACACAATTCATTTTATTCCTAAGGATGGCAGGATCAGAAGTAATCTGTCCAAATAGTCTTCTGTTCTGTAATAATAATAATGATTATAATGATTATGATAATGATATGCATGTCTAATATTTGCAAGGCGCAAAACCCACTTGAAATCAAATGCTCAAGATACATTAGTGCAAAAGATAAATTCACTTAAAAACATCTGCATTATAGTCAAAAGAATAAGTGTAGTAAGATGGAACATTCAAAAATGAGAGAGACCAATTGTATGCTATATCAAAGAGACATGCTGTAGATTCTTTTCAAAATTCAAGTTGGTTTGCCACCTACAAATCTCTCAAGGAAGAGGGTTCCACAGCAAAGGCTCTGCATGAGCACAGGTTCTGTCATCTCTGCCTACCAACCCACCACATTCAGCAAAGAAATCACCTAGGGAAGCTGTACAGTGTTTCCTTCCTGGGGAGTGTTTCACAAAGACTAAGATTGACTTTAAGTTTGACTTAACTATGGCAGGCCATGCAGGCCATTCATGCCACTGTTTACTCTCACCATTTACTGGCATTGGTCTCTCAAGGGACGTACAAATGATGGTCACAAATCTACAGAATTTACATTTTTTGATTAAAATATTATCTAAAGGGTCATATTTGAGAGATTAATGGTGAGAGCAACCAGTGGCAAGAGTGGCCTGCCAACTTAAAGTCGACCTTATTTTTTGTGAAACACTCCCCCTCCTCAACAATTTTTGTTGGGACAAAGATAAACAAACTGTTATGCCTTTCTACATGTCCTAGACAAATTTGCAGATGCTATGTTAGGATACTTGTGCACATGACCACAGATGTTTATATCATGTACTGGATATAAGAAATAATCCAGTTTTGTTTTCTGTCTTCCAGTATCCTGATTCAATAGGTGGCAGTAAGGTGACATCAGTCAGAGATCTGACCACGGGCTATGATAGTTCTCAACCTGACAAACGAGCTGTAAGTCTGAAAACTTTCATTGGTTGGAGTAACCGTAACATGTTAGTTTAAGCTCATACCAACGTAGTTTAGCAGGCAAGCCAAGTACAGTCAAACCTGCTTTGGTGACCACCTGCCTATAAAGACCACTTTTCTTGTCTCCCTTGGGTGGCTATTATACAGGTTTCACTGTACTTCTTCACACAGTTCCTCTAAGAGGGCCATGAAATTCCTTTCCAAGTCATCTCATGACTACTTCAGTTCAGTATAAGTAATTATTTGTCATGTTTTTTTAAAATTTGTTTGTTTTGAGAATGGCACATGGCGTCTTTACACTGTAGCACGAGCCATCACCAGGTCATGCGGCGCAGTTTGAAAGATAACTTTCAATCAAATTATATTTAAGGAAGGCCTTGTTTAAAATTCTGCTAGCATTCCTTACATATAATTTTTTTTATATTAATTTTTAAATTGGTGGGATTAATTATATAAGAGAAGACTTTGACGTCTGTAATCTTTTTGAACATTTTTCGTTCGAACCCTTTAAACAAGTGCTCTTTAATTGACACCATCTATTTTGTATTTATTTTGTTATTGTTATCATTATTTATTGTTTTAATCTCTTTTTCCAGATCCTCCCTGTCAGTAAATCAAGTCAGATGATCACCTTCACGTTTGATAACGGTGTGATAGCAACCCTAAGAACCAGTGGAACAGAACCCAAGATCAAATACTATACCGAGATATGTGCAGATGCTACACAAAGGTAATTTGCTTTCATGAATATATTGCTAGATTTGATACACGTGTATTTCGCTTCTTTGGAAATTTATATTAAAATGCTTACATTTTTTCTTATTACAGAGAATTGCAAAAGTTTCACAATATATATTTGTATTTATTTTATTTTATTCATCAACAACTACAAACAACAAGACTGGGTATTTATATAGTGCCTTTTCTTAATATAGACACAAAGCACCTGCAAAAGATAAGAAATGAATTAAAAAAATAAAAATTCAATACAGATACTATGGCCCGAATTCACAAAGAAGGTTTGTCGACAGACCTAGGTTTATGTGCGTCATATGATGCATTTCGACGCGTTTCAAACCTAGGTTTGTACAGACCTGCGTTACGAAACGTGTCATATGATGCACATAAACCTAGGTTTGTCAACAAACCTCCTTTGTAAATTCGGGCCTGTATGTCTTTGTTTAATGTAGTTTGTGCTTTGTTTATATTCTACCTCTCTGTCTTGCTTCTTTGAAAAATCAAGAATAATAGTACATGTATATTCCTTTCTGTCTGTCTGTGTTCACTTTGCAGAAGTAAGGAGGAAATTTCCAATGAGCTGAGTAAGTTTGTTAACACCTTAGTGGAGGAATTACTCCAGCCTGAGATGAACAAACTGATTCCCAAAGGCGATTGAGGGCGCTGTAACCCTTACACAAAAAGACGAATTTCACCTTAAATTATGCAGCCACCAACGATGTTGTTGCCAAGGGTGTCAAATGTATTCCAATCACTAATTGTTTGATGGGGATTTAATCAACAGTATGGTATAAAGTATAGAGAGCAGTCCAAATCTGGACCCTGTTTCACAAAACTTGTTAACAATAACAAATGCCAAATTTCAATGACAAATTTGCTCTTAGCCAATCAAATGCCACGATCTCAGTAGCTTATAACAGTTATTGCAACTTGTTATTGATAACAAGTTTTGTGAAACAGGGCTCTATACTTGAAAAGGCTGATGACGTAAGAACATTGGTTGAGAAATGAGCATGTACGATACGACGCATCTAACAGAAATTAGAAATGGAATGTGTGAAGTGTTGAAGTGGTGCCTCAACAAAGGGCGAGCTGAAAAGTAATCTTACAATCTGAAATAAAGATGACATTGACGATCGAGGGATGAATCATAGAGCATCACATAGCATTCTTTGATCTATTTGACTTTTTTTCTCTGTGAGAAACTAAATAGATTTTGTGTAATGGCAACCGCCCAAGGTTGCTATAGACTGGTTCGACTGTATCAACATATATATTTTTTTCTCCTTGTTCATTAGGGAAAGAACAGGCTGTATTCATAAAAGTGAACACTAGGCCAGTTTCGAACCCAGAGTTGTTCAACTGGTACACTGATTTCATAGAGTGTTAAATGTCAATTTCATAATCAACATATATCCATATGCTGCTTGAATGCCTGTTGCACATGAGAAGTTATTTATTACTTTATTACCTGTGCTGAGAAAGCCTATGAAGGCAATAAGCGAATGACAAAACGTCAGTAATTCATTGCGATATTTGCACCGTCCATTTGTACATTCATGTGTTTGGGTAATGTCCTTACTGAAGCTGTCTTACATTCATCAAATGATGCAGTGTGAACCAAAAAAAGCAGAACACTTTCACTTTCAGTTGAAGAATATCCTATTGCGCACCTTATCCTGTTCCATCCTGTACAAATACACATGCACTGCACAAAACAATACGTAACTGGAACAGACCGAAACGGTGCTATCTGGGCTGATAGCTAACAGCTCGGAACCTTTGTGCTACTTTCGGCTTGAATTGAGACATGCCCTCACATTGCAGTCATTCATGTTCTCTTCCCCAGTTTGGAATTGATGAATCAAAAGATTGATACAAGAAACACGAGTGTAAAGCCAAAAAGTGATGTTCTTAATCAAGAAGATTCACATCTGTCCTCATCAATAGACTTTTGTGAGTACCAAACAAAGACGACTCACTTTTCATAAATTATGACAGTAGAGGAACTTGTTCATCATGTCAATGTCACATTTCTTTCTCTTTAAGAGGGACGTTAATGTAATAAATATGTTTTATAGTTACGTGCCTATTTACTCATGTAAACCTATGTAAAAATTTGGTGACCAGACTTGTACTCCAGCAACAATTGCTCCCACCTTTATTTCACCAAAGATTTAGGGTAACAGTTAGTATGGCTTTTTGGTATTAATGCTAAGATTTAGGATTAGGTTTAGGTATAATGTTTGGTCCAGTGTTAAAGTGAGGATTTGGGATGGTGTAGGATATTGACCGTGGAGCTAAAGCATATATTATAGAACTATACCGACAGCATCATTTAAAAAGAATGTTCATTACTAGAGTATTCTATGTATTAATGTGAAAAACATTGTAATATTTTGTTTTTATCTGAAGAAATATATAGACATAAATACTTAGGGTGGTATTCTCGAAAGCGGCCTAAGTTAAATCAGTGGCCTAAACCTGGTTTAAACCACGGACTATCTTTTTTGCTATTCTCGAAGGTTGCCTAAAGATAAGCCAGGCTTAAATACGTCATAGTTCGGCCTAACTTTAGGCCGCTCAGAGGGCAGGTTTAAATACGTCATAGTTCGGCCTAACTTCGCGTGACGTCACTTTTTAGTTACATCGACTGTCCGCGGAGAGTGAACGGTAAGTTTTGCATTTGAATTTCTATATTTGATAACAATTTACACTCTTTTGTATGGAAAAGCGCTCATGAAAGTTACGCCAGCTAATAAAGTATTTTTGTAACTTTCATGTTGCTGTACTGGTGATAATCTAAAATGCTTTTAACTGAATAAATTTGGGGGAAACTTTGTAAATGTTCACAGTGTTCGCAGAGCAGTCCCATACGTGCAAATAATTGTCGGTTAACATTTTCATTTCCTGAGATTGAGCAATTTCTTACCGGGTAATTTTTTTCTTGGCACTATTGTACTTTCGTACGCTTATACCACCTTAACATCACCTTAAAAATATCCTTGCTAGACGTAGAAACTACTTTTATAGTGGATTTTCGAGACGCTGTTGCCTAAAAGTGGACTAGCACTAGGCCTAAATCTAGGTCTAACTTGTTAGCTGTCTCTTTCGTTCGTTAGCCTCTGATTTGGTCGGCTCCTCTCTTTCAGGAGCCGACCCTACCCAAATCAGAGGCTAACGAACGAAAGAGACAGAAATTTCGGTCTGGTATCACCTCTGCCTGAGCTGCAGTGCTAGTTGTGGCTGTTGGTGCGATCATTTCCTACAGGATGATGATGATGATTTTCATAACCACCCCCAATAGTCCGGCAGCCAAATCCAGATTATTGGCCTAACCTTGTTTTAGGGTCTATAGTTTTTTTTTCAACGGATTTTGATTGCCTAGACCTTCTATTTCAAGAATCCGATTGCTGACACTCTGTCAGCCTTGAGCAATTTAAGATATATGACGTCATACAAAATGGCCGCCAAAGTACATGATTTTCCTTTAAAAATGAATAATAAATATATAATAAGGATTTTTTCTACAATTTTGGCCAGCCAAATGTCTGTATCTCTCTAGGACCATCACTAAAAAAATGTTTTGTGATGTTGCGTGGCCATAGATGACCAGCTTATTTGCATATTTTGAAATTGCGCCCTCTATAAACATATTAATTTGAATAAAATATGTGTGCCAGCCAAATGCCAATTTCTTAAATCTATGTCACGTTGAAATCATATTAAATGCTTTTTTGGGGCAACAATTGCAGTTGTGCTGCATTAATCTTTCATAATGTTTGGTACAAATTTAGATAGGGTAGGTATGGGGAATGGAAGACCCTTTAAGCACATTTGCATAATTTACATAAACATGAACAATGTTACACATACAGACATTTTTGTATTCTCTTTAGTATTTTTTCTCTTTATTTGGTAACGAAATTGTGGTCATGATGTAACTGATTAATAAGATAACAATGATTAATGACGTCATCAAAGGTCTCTCATTACCTACATGTGTAGGTAATAAGGGACAGTTACAAATCAAGACATTTTAAATACAATTTGAATGAAAATGGGATTGTTATAGTTAGTTCAAACACTTGTTGAAAGAGATACATGCAACCAATAAACTTACTGTAATTTTGAAACGATTTTAAAACAATGTGGCCCAAAATATTTCTGTAGTTTTTTTGTTTACAGTAATAAAGGTGCTCTCAATTATGTTAAAATACTTTCAGAATAATGTTCTGGCATTATGACTTTTACATTGATCAAACTCACAGCATAGAAACAACTTCTTAAAATTAAATGCATTCAAATTAGAATGGTGACACGTACAACCAAATATGTTTCATGATAGTGCCTTTCAACATGAAATGGACAACTGGGGAGAAGTAGGCCCCCATCTTGGACCTGGTGTCCCCCATTACCTACACACATTTCTGATCAAACACCATTCATAATGTGAATTGCAACACCCATTCACAACACACAATGGCCATAAGCTTTCTGTGATGGTTGGCACATTTCATAAACTTCCTTTTGAAACTAATTTTCAAGAGCCACCCCTAAATATCTGCATACACCACAACATTCAGTGAAAATTGTGTTTTTATATCACAGCAAAATTTTACGATTAAAATTGCTCATCTTGGTCAATTTTGCCAATTTTCTCGGAGAGAGAACGCATTGTAGTCTTCGAAATGAATTGGATATATGCAGTAGTGTTGTTGAAGGCCACATATGTCGCTATATCAATATTGGAGCCAACACGGACAGACAGTGATGGGTTCAAGCTTGGTGGTCTCCAATTCCCTACACCTACCCTACATGTCAAGAAAAAAAATGGCTATGAAAGAATTCATTTTTCATCAAATCGGTGAGAAGTGGTTTTACGGCACACATTATTATTCAATTGATAGGCTTTATTTAGACCAGCATTGCTCCAACGTCAGTGAATGTGGATAAAGCAGTTGACATCTATACTAGACAGATGCATGATTTTCAAAAGAAATTACCTGGTGGATTCTATGACACAATTTCCAAGAAAGTTCAAACCGTGGCAGCCATGAAGAAGTCAATGTTAGGGTACGAAAGTCTATGAAAAGTTGATCTACTCCAGAGTAATAGGACTGCAGACAAGTACAAGAGAGGTCAATGTCAAGGACATTTTGTCATAAGAGCTTTCACCAGTCCCAACAGCACTTTTTGATCATTCTGGAAACAAGCACTCCCATGTCAAAGACGGACTTATAGAATTTGACAAAAGTTGAGATGTCAGCCAGGCATGAGACACTGGAACAACCTTGTACAGTCATTGATGGTTGTGCTCTGCTGTGGATGAAAATCTGATGATGTTTGCTTGGTGTTTGACAGATCCGAGAGTATCTAGAGGTCATAACGGGTCGAGAGTCTTCCAACTGAGTCCCGCGTCACTGCTGCCCTCCAAGAAACTATCTCTTACTGTTCGTCGTCGTCGTCGTCGTTGTCATATAGATCATGGCTCACCCTTGTGACCCGTTTGATAAGACCTTTTGATCGGCATCTGTCTCCTGCAATCCGGTAGAGTGTCTTTAGTATTTAGAGGGTGGCTAGTGATTTCCCTAAGGTCGTCAGTCCATCTGAGCTTGAGTCTTTCTTTGTTACGTGTTCCTTCAAAGGTACCTTGAATGAAAATTTGTCAAGGTTGTCTCCTAATCTTCTGCTAACGTGACCAAACTATTGTAGCTTGTACTTGTCAATCCTGGTAGCAAGTGGAGGTTGATCTCTGATGATGGACATTAATTATTGTGTCCATTGGTGTTGTAATCTCTTCATGATATCCCAAGTAGCTTCCTCCAACACCACATTTCGAAGGCAGATATTGCCGAGGTTCCACCCTCCTTGACAATCATTGACCTAAGAACATTATATAAACTTGTCCACTTGATCAACTTCTTCTCCATCAACCACCATGCTCTGTTGCATGTAGTTAATTTCCACCAATCATGATCTTGGTCTTTTTCACATTGAGGTAGGGTCCAAATTATTCACTTGCATCCTTCACTCTTTTTTTAAGGAGTTCTAGTAGTTCTTCTGATGTTCTTGTTATAAGTGTTGTCAGTGGCATACTGAGCAAAAACACTTAGAGGGGCAGAAAAGCAATCTGCATCACCACCACTCATACATGTTACATGCAGGCCCCGCGGAACTTTTTTTAAAGCGGGGTGGGGGGGGGGGTGAAGTATTTACGATCAGGAAGAGGGGAGCGCAAATTGTTGTGGTGTTCAAGGGGCACAGCCCCCGGAAGCTCAAGGGTTTCAGGCATTTAAGATGAACATATTTTGATACCTCATTTCACCTCGGGTCACTTTCTTTCTTTCTAGTTCTCTTTAACATACTTTATACAAAAAGTGAGGGGGGCTCGAGTCCCCTGAGCCCCGCTGTTCTGCGGACCCTGACATGTAGGCTTTTAAATAAGCATACTTTTTGCTTGACTGTGAATTCAGGATTTGTCATTTTCCAACATACGCTTAACAAATAATAATTTACTAAAAAGTGAGAAAAAATCCAGGAAAATCATGTCATTTCAGCAACATTTGTAAATCACTGGTATCGAATATATAGAAAAAACAGTTTGAATTTTGTTTGGGGGTTCAAGTGTCCCCAACCCCCCCCCCCCCCTCCAACCCTTCCCCATCAACACGCCAGAGAGTGTTGTATTGTCGGCGTATCTTAGGTTGGTGATCGTTCGTCCACCAACAGAAACTTGACCATAAAATGCCTTTCTCATGATGAATTCAGCATAGATGTTGAAAAGTTATGGTGATAGGATGCAGCCTTGACGGACAACTTGACCAATAGTGAACCTTTCGGTGTAGCCATTCTCTGTTCTTACTGTTGCTTCTTGGTATTGGTAGAGCGACTGGATGAGTTGAATTATATGTGCAGGAAAGCCCATCTAGCTCATAATCTTCCATAGGTGTTTATGCTGTATGCAGTCAAAAGCTTTGGAAAGATCAATAAAGCTAGGGAGAGAAGTTGTTGAAACGTGTCTCTAGTGTTGCTAACTTCACTATCTTTTCATGACAACAAACTACAGTTGATCGACATCATAAGTATATGCGCGAGTCTGCAGGATGATTGGGTGCTCAGAAATAGGTAAAAGCACAAGCAGGCCTTTACCGTCAAGATGAGGTTTCTGTTGAAGTGATTCCAGGCAGTGATGTCATGCCAAGGAAAGGTCTGTCCACAACATAGTTATGATGAAGCAGGCAACATCAAAGTACAGCAAGCGATTTGAATTGATGCTAATGAGAAGATGTATGTTAGGGTCCTAGTGGATGACACAGACGTATACGTACTACTTTTGCATCATTATCTACATGACGGACTTAATATAAAACGCCAATGACCATGGAGACGCCCCTTCACAAATCGAACTGTTATTGATGTTCCTGCTAATGTAGACAACTTAGGAGATATCATTCCATTGATGTTGGCAGGACATGCGTTGACGGGATGCGACACTCTTGGGGCATACTTTGGCATTGGATAGTGTACAATGCTGAAAGTGATGAAGCAGAAGATTCGACTCCCTTAGGACTCAGTTGGCAATGTTGATGCAGCATGGTCATATGTCATCACTCAACCTACTCAATGCTTTGCTTCATGTTATGGACAGTCAACAACCAACTGAATGTCAGAGGCTCGTATCAACGTGTGGCTATCAAGGGTCCGAAGACTAGGAGCTCCAAATACCCCCAAACCTTGCCTCACTACCTCAAACTACTGAAGCGTTTGTAGAAAATGTTAAGAGAGCTCATTTGCAAACATGCGTGTGGAAGCACGCATTACAGTCACGACCTCACTTTGCAGAATTAAGTGTTAAATGACACCCTCTTCCGCATGGAATATTTTAGGGTTCCCAACACTTTAGAGGGCTTTTAAACAAATTTCAAGATTTTGAAGCAAACTTATAAACGGATATAGTCCTGTATCGTATTGGTAGTTCGTAATTTTAGGTTAATTTAAAAGAATCTAGTACCTTAGAATACAAATCTAGTTTCTTAACGCTGTCACTGAAAATGGGCATTTATCACCATATGCCACCTCATATCTATGGGACAGAGAGCATAAAATTCAACCGTGTTTTCTTCGAGTATCAAATTACAAAATAAAAATAAATGTGCAGCACAATTTTTACTCACTGTATCCAGTTCATCTGACTCATGACATATGATAATCTCATGTTAGAAATTGGTATTTGGCCATCATTTTGAACTATGCAAGTTAATGTGTCTATAGAGGGCGCTATTCCGTATTATGCAAATTTGCATATCATTTGTGATCATACAGCATCGCAATTTTTATTTAGTGATGATTCTAGAAAAAAATCAAGATATTTGACTGCCATTTAATGTAGTAAAATGCTGTTAAAACTTTTTATATCATTAATTTTGGTTAAAAAGGGGATTTTGGCGGCCATTTTGTATGACGTCACATATCTCAAATTGCTCAATGCTGACAGAGTGTCAGCAATCGAATTCTTCAAATTGATGGTCTAAGGAACTATAATCTGAAGAAAAAAAAACTATAGACCCTAAAACAAGGTATACCGAGATGGCTGCCGGACTACAAGAAAACATTTAAAAAAACAATGTTAGGCCTACTAGACATAGACCTCTAGCCGGCTCTAGACTAGATCTTAATTTCATCAATAAGAGTCTAGTCTAGACAGGTCTAATACAATTTGAAAGGAAATGGACAGAAGCTTCCTTTTTTTGACATAGGTCTACATTTGCTGATAATGTTACAGTAGTTTAGGCTTATAATAGTACTTGTTAGTAAACTAGACGTCTACAGAGAAATTGTAATTTCTTATCAAATATCAACATATTTTTTCATCTTGATTTTCTGCTATTTCAGGTTCTTTTCAATTGATGCATGGGGATGGAGAAAAAAAGGCCTCTCCCAAGCTATGGTGTCCCGCCTTGTGAAGTCCATCTCAATAGCCATTGCCAGGAGATGGGAGCAATACATCACAATTCCTTCAGCAAGAGAGGCAGTCCTGCAGAGTGCAGACCCAACATGAATTGTATAATTACTGCCATTTCCCTGGCGTTAGTATGGTCGGTGCTATTGATTGCACCCACATAGGCATCTCCAAGCCAGTTGGCCCAACACCAGTTATTTCCTGAACAGGAAAAAATAGATACTCCATTTTTCTTGGAAAGTCTGCTGGTGAGTAAAGCTGTAATTACGCCTAAATTTTGTAAACTAAATCATGTTTATACAATTTGTATTAAAAAGATCTGCTGAATTTATGAATCTGCAGATGTGTCTACAGGTACATTATGAAGTGATTTAAAATTGTTTTGTCTGATAAGTGTAGGTGCAATCTACACTCAAACTTTTATTCATTTTACATGGGCACGAGCTAATATTTCAGCTCGATTGCCATGGCTACCAGTCATTCCTGACAGTGACAGCTTGGCCTAGACTTTTGGGCGGAACTATCTGAAAATAAGACACAAATAATCAACAGTTGATTAACTACTTTCAAATTTGGGTCAGAAGAAAATTCAAACCTACCACTAAGGAACAAATAAGACTAAGAGACCTACAGACTACAGTACAGTGCAGTAAATTTTACTTTTACTTTTTCCCCTTTCACGAAGCTCATTTTGGGAGATAACATAAACAAAGACAATCTTTGGTCTAATGTTAGATTGAACTGAAATGGAAAAGTTGGGCTCTAACGATTAGGGCCTTGTAAAATTTCCATTCCAGGCTGCGTTTACATCTAGGTTAGGCCAACTGTCGGCTCGTTATCTAAGTAAGATGTAGACTTGATTTCAGGAAAGGGACTAACTTCGCTATAGACTTTAACTACTTAGGGCTTTCTTAGGCCATGACATGGCAAGTACAACTTGGTGCAAGCACATTTATGAGATAGTACTGCAAGAATGTGTATGTTTGTTCTTGACTTTAAAAGAGATACCGGTAGTCATTCTGTAAATCAATGATTACTAGTAACTGAGTGGGGAGGGGGTGCCTAGTCACTGCCTACATGAAAGGCGCCTTAAGTTTTTTTTTTTAAGTTAGAATATTATTGACACTATAACTAAGACCAATTATCAATGGAGTAGATCTTTGATATTTTAATGAGGTCTAAACCTTTTTATTTTTGTTTCAGGATGATGTTTTTCTTCAGTAAAATAAATGAAGGCAAATTCCCTGATAACTGAGACAAATTCAGAGAGAGGAAGGAGAACTACTGAGCTGCTGAATTTCTGACAGGTAGGCTGTACGAATAAGTTGTTGTTTGTATGCCCAGGTACTTCAAGGATGGCATTTGTTCATTCACATTTTTCCATCAATACTTTCATGTAATTGATTAATATGCACTCCACTTTTACCACAATGTACATGCAAGACCTTTTTAATGTTTAACAGAAATAGGTTTCAATGTGCTTCCTTTCATTCTTTTCTCTTTTCATTCAACAGACATACTTGCAAGGACTATGAAGTTCTACTTAGCCTCTTCAATGAACCAGACTCCATCTGCTGTAACTGTGACTGCATGGGGATCAAAACCTGTGTATTATAATCCTCATAACATGAAGCTATGGTAACAAACAAGCAACCATTGATAAAAAGCCTGATATGTTCTTGTTGTGTGTGTGAACCACAAAGCAACCATCACTCATAAGGATGTTTTTATGTACATCAGATGTTCATTGTTTCACTGGAAAAATTGTGATTTTGAATCATTTAAGAAATTATGTTTTATAATGCGTTTTATAATATAGTGCAAGTCATGATCTAACAGATTCCCTGCAAAAGAAACATGGCTCAAAAGTAGACTAAGCTTTGTTTTTAAAAAATGGGAGAAATTAGTGTAACAAATACATAACATTTAATTCTAATAGTTTCAAGTAGCAGATTATGAGGCTATTGGAGCTTAATATTTGACCTTCAATTTTATAATCGTATTCATCGTGAATTACAATCTTTTCTGTTTTAAGAAAATTAAATAAATTGAACATAATTGTTGATATGTTATATACAATACTCCTTTCATATCTTTTGATTTTAAGTATGCATACTGTTGGGTTCATTGAATTATACATGGAAAAAGTCTTAAAATTGAACAGTGAGAGAACAGAGAGCGAGCGAGAGAGAGAGATAGAGTAAAAGAGAAAGGGAACCAAATGAGAAAGAACAATTTAATGGTGAGAGAAATAATGATGTGAGATAGTGTGTGTGTGTGTGAGAGAGAGAGATGGAGATAGGAAGAAAGAGTTGGGGGGGGGGGTACAGTGCCCCCTTTTTCAAATGCCCCTTTTTATATAGGAAAGTTCCCTTTTAACTGTGCAAGAAGTGCCCCTCTTTCCATAGGTAAAGTGCCCCTTCCCCTTTTCACCTCTGATAAGTGCTCCTTTAATTTTGACACGGGGCCCCTTTTCCTTTGACAAGTTTCCATTTCCTTTGCAATAAGTGCCCCTTTTCACTTTTGAGAAGTGCCCCTTCACCTCTGATAATTGCCCTATTTAAATCTGAGAGGTGCCCCTATTAACAAAATTATCGGTGCCCCTTTTCTTTCAACAAATGCACATTTCCTTTATTATAAGTGCCTCTTTTTCATTCTCATAAGTGCCCCTTTTAAAATATGTTCAATGCCCCTTTTCAGGTGCGATATGTGACCCTTTTCACCTCTGATAATTTCCCTTTTAACAATGATACAATTCCAGCAAGTGCCCTTTTTCTTGGTGCTGCCCCCCGCTTTGGAAGTCGCTCCGCCGTCCCTGGACGTCATATTGCTCAAGTTGTCGAGGTGATGCATCCTCTCCACACTGCGCGCATCCATTGTCTTAGCCCATTGTCTTAGTGCATTGTGACGTCATATTGCTCAAGTTGTCGAGGTGATGCATCCTCTCCACACTGCGCGCATCCATTGTCTTAGTGCATTGTGACGTCGCAGCTTCGGTACTGAGCATGTGCAGAAACCGTAACCATGGTGAATAATCCATGGACTAAGTTAGGCCAGGTTTAAACCATGGATCAGTTAGGCCACCTTTCGAGAAATGAAAATGACTTAGGTCAGCGGACTAAGTTAAGCCTGGCCTAACTAAACCACGGTTTAACTTAGGCCAGGTTTAACTTAGGCCGCTTTCGAGAATACCACCCTTATATATTACCATTCTCAGTGTTTATTTTTCTTGTGGGAAGCCTTGGAGCTAACCGTCTGCTTTAAGTTTTATATTTTATATGTGTAGAAGTGGCTCTAGAAGAATGACATGCATAAATATATGAATTATTGACAATATACCAATGTTTGTACATCCACCTAATACCATGAAAAGCATTTTGATTAATAGGATAAGACTTTAAAGCTGAAATTTGATGAAGATCATTACAGATATAATGATTGATGAGATAACACTTTAAAGCTAAAATGATTTGAGAAAGAAATTGCAGCTGATTGAGAATAATAGGATGACCTTACATAAAATACATGAAGAGATTGTTTCTTTTGGTATCAAATGCATCTAATATATAGACTACTTAAAGTGAGGAATACAAACTTATAAAGATAGAGCTTGGACTTTTGTTCACATGATTATGGTCGCTTAGTGTATATTATTGGAATGTCGTTCTACTGGTACAAGACTTGGTACTAGTTAGTCATATACTAGTAATTTGTTTGTTCTTTGTTTATATCTCTCACTATATATCCTGCTGGAAATTTTATTTCAAGAATTTTTCAACTGCAAGCACCTGTGTAATACCCTTTATCTGTCCAAACTCTTGCTGCATAATTCATTACTGTATTCTTTAAAATACCATCTAGTGCTGCGGAGCGTTGTTTGCATTTTCATGTTTTCTATATGCATGTACCGTTGGAGAGATACCGATATTCCATCAGGTTGAAACAGGTAACAAAATTAAGATAAATATAATATATCATCATTGTAGAACAAGAAGGGTATAAGTAAAGTGTTAGAGGATGATACCAGTGAATGCCATTTTAGCTTCTAACAGATATTTACTTTCTATTCAGGTTTGGAATACATTGGTGCTAAAGGGTATTTAGAGAAAAACTCCCACTATCCTCGTTCTGCTTTCTTTCATCTTAAAGAATATATATAGCATTTCTAATTGTTACTTTCGTTTGTTGAAGAAATGTTTTAAAGCTTTCTTGTACGTCTGTGTTTTATTTGCTACTTTGTTGGCTTTCTGTTTAGTAGTAGTTAAGATTAATATAGTGATTGAAATCTTAATTATATATGTGGCACATGAAACTGATAGCGCCACTTATATCATTTTCTCACCCCAAAAAGGGAAATATTATTCATGTACTGTGCATGATCAGCAGAAATAAAACTTGTGTAAAACAAGTATTACTACTCACAAAGCCCAAACCAAAGATAATTTCTTTCAAATCATGTTTTTTCATGACATGCCATTTGAAATGCTGTTGTAGAATGTGTCTCCAATTGACTCATATTAGTGCATCTTTTGATATTTTGTGCTACTTAAATTTTAGTGAAAGGACTGTCTCCACATTTTCAATAGTTTAAGAATACGGTACAGTCCTATATAACATATGACACATGCTAGGTTAGAAATATATTTATTTTTCCATCCAGATATCAAATATTAAACAATTTTTGTTCAAAGATGAAATAGAAATACTGCATCCTGAGACATGGACATATTCATTTCAGAATATTTTTGTTAGTATAAATCCCTTGAAGGTGATGTAAGGAGTGAAATTAATCATATACTTGTTTTTATTAAATATGTTGCTCTTATAGAGTATTGTAGCATGTAATAACTCTAAGCTGTTACATCATGTTTATGTGCCAAAACAGCTTTGCTGTAGGCCTATTTCTGTCTCAAATTTGTAATGTTTGGGGGTAGACTACACTAGGTCACTGTTGGTATTCAAGGCTTTGTTTTTCTCAGGTGAAATATCTTCTTCTTTTTTTTAATATTTTTTTTTGTTAACTAGCAATTTAATTGTTATGGGTAACACAAAAACAAGTACCGTATACGTGTTTGTGTTGCCGACTGACACTGATTAACTATATATCAGATTGTAATCTGAATGTTTCCCAAAATAAAGCAAAACAACATCAAAAATTCATCTGTTTACAGTACATTGTATTAATTGTGTGTGTGTGGTCGGGAGGGGATGGCAATGGGATATGTGTGTGGTGATTGTGCGATCATTTCTTTTCATCAATCATACAATCTATCTTTGAATTATGTCAAGATGAAAAACAACTAGTTCTAAGAATGATTTGTATTGTTTTGGAATCAATAAAAACCCATTAAAACAAATAATTACACAATTTTTTTTTTGGGGGGGATGTTTGTGTGTGTGGTGAAAGATGAAAAAATATGTACTTGATATGATAAAGGGCAGTGTGTAATAAAACATTTTGATAAGCTTCCCAAAATTTGCCACCTTAGAAGAAAATTTATATATGTGGGGAGGGGGCTGGGATGGGTGTTGGATGTGTATGGGGGGGGGGGGGGTTGATGTGTGTAGATTGAACGTTGACAAAACACGTACTTAATAAAAGCCATTGTGTAATAATGATAAGCCTTTTTTTTTAAATCCCAATTTTCCACCTCATTTTAAAAATCCTTTATTTAAAGAAAAGCTGTTTTTTCCTTATTGACATACTGAAAATTTTCATTTCAAGGAAGGAAGGGAAGTAGGTTGACAGAAACATAGATACGATTCTTGAACGTTGAACAGAAAAGTCTAACTTTGCAATGAAGTGTAACTTGGGCGAACTACATTATAAGAAGAAAGCTAAAATTAGATCTCATGTTGTGACAAGACACAGTTGCTATTAGGGCCACCACAACGCAAACCTTGCGACACGACTATACATTAAAGAAAAAATGATAACAAATTGAAGTAGGATTGTAACAGAAATCCACGAGTTTCCTGATTGAGGTGGTGAATGTGAAATACATAGTATCTTGATGCAGTGTGTTGTATATACCATGTACCTTACCACTATAGTCCATGTACAGTAAATACAGTCAACATAAAGACCACCCGTCTACAAAGACCGCATTCTTGTCTCCCTTGTGTGGTCTTTGTAGACAGGTTTCTCTGTACATGGCACCTCTATGCAAGGTAGGATCTGCAGAGATAGATAAGTTCCCATCAATATTAGTTTAGCAGGACTGCAACTTTGAGAGGATTGTCGTCATTCCTAAATATAAATGTTTGGGACTAGCAATGGGTTAGGGAGGAAGTGGGAATTCCTTGTTTTTGTATCAATTTCCGATCCAACATTTCAATGCTATAAGCCTTCTCGTTCCCCTACTTTTGGGAATTCCTGGAATATACGAAAACATAATTATGGCATTAAACAAAATGTATGTTATCCTGTTTTCAGTGGTGTAGCTACTAGGATATGGGGTCACGTGCCCCCCCCCTCCCCTTCTAATCGAATGGCGTAAAGAATAAATTTGAAATCTTGAATCTTGAAAGAGAGATAGTGGGGGAGGGGTGGTAACGTGAAGAGTAATACGATATCACCCCCCCCCCCCCCAGTGGAATGGCGTATATAAAGAGAAAGAGAATGTGAGAAGGTATCTGGTCTCTTCCAGCGAAAAGAGGCATATCCCCCA